CGCCTGCGCATGTTTCCGTTCTGATCTCGTTGTCCCACCTCGCGGCATCTCAGGTGGCTCACGGCGCGGGCATCTCGTGTCTTGCTGCGGGCAATGCTTTTGTTGATAAAATGGCGGACTTTGCCGCCGAGTTCCCAGAGGTCCGAAGCCCACCCCCGCCGCCGGCGCCCGCTGCCGTCGCCCTTTCGGCCTGTCGCACTCAGCGCAGGCTTGCGGAGCGCAGGAGAAAGTGCATCAGGTGCCTTTGCGCGGCCTCGTTCGCGACAGCTCGTGACTGGCAAGAGGCACCGGGTTATGATCTGGTCAACGCTGATTGCGCGATCGCCCCCCCCCGTGAGGGCGCGAGGGTGCATGTCGGCAGGATTTGGCTGCACCCGACCCACTCCCTTTCGGTCTACATCTCTCTGCCCGGCTGGTCTTGTTCCAGGTGCGGAGGCACTGCCAAACAGCAGGCGGTGGCCCTGGGGAAACCATGCAGCGGAGTCCTCGCCCCCACAGGTAAGGAAGATTTGTCGCGCACCCACGCTGGCCCAGCCCCGAGAGTCCTCAGCAAGGCCGAAAAGGCACAACGAGGCCGAGGCTCGGCACTTGAACTGGGTTCGCCACGGGTTCCACTCCACTCCACTCCTCCTCCTCCTCCTTTTTCTCCTCCTTTTTCTCCTCCTCCTCCTCCTACTCCTCTTCCTCCTCCTCCTCCTCCTCCTCCTCCTCCTCCCGAGAGACCCGTCGTCTTCGGATGCCGGAGTCGGCGTTCTGAAGGGATGACTCCGATCTTGGCCTAGAGTTGGGGTCTCCGACAATCCGCAAAAATTTACGGTCAGGATGTTTTGCTGCCGGGGCCGTCCCACAGGGGGGTGAGGACCAGGGGTGTGCGGATATCGTGGCCGGGGCCACGAGTTCTGCCCCGATCTCATGAACCCTCTTCTTTCCGGGCGTCCTCTGGCCCCCCTTTCGCTCTCTTGGGCGCCCCCCTCTTAGACGCCCCCGAGCTTATCGCGTCGCGCCGCGGGTTCTGATCCACCACGCTTCGGAGCGACGTTCTAGCCACGCCCCCATTTCCAAGTGTCAGCGCCCCGAGCCATGCTCAGCCTCTCTCCCCGCGGGGCGAAGCGGCGCGCTCCTATCAATTTGCAGGACGTGGCGCGTCACCGGGGCCGCCGCCGCACCATGGCCGTAAGTTCCCCATGTGTGCCACTCTTATCGCCGCTGGCGTCGAGACCTCATCGCCGCGCGAAAATGTCTGGGTACCCAGACAGTGTCAAAACGATCAAGTCGCTCCCAAGCCAGCCAAACGAAAAGCTGCCGCATTCTATACATATATATATATATGTATACATAAATATATATATATATATATATAGAGATACATGCATAACAAAAAATGTTGCTGATTGCCGTTGAGGGAGGGAGGATGGAGGTTGGGACAGGGGATGGAGGAGAAGGAGGAGGAGGACATTGCGCGGACGGCACGACTGGTTTACCTCCATATCCCGCCATCGCCCAAGAGGGAGCCACGCCACGAGGAAGAGCAACCCTTCGAGGGCCGAGAGGGCCGCGGGCGTTGACCTCCTTCGAGCATGGAAGTTTGCATACTCAGAGAGCGCGATGAAGCAAGTCCACTCTCAGTGCGAGAAAATCGTTTCCAAACCTGCCCGGCAGCGGTCACTGCCACGTGCCACTGGCCTACGCCGTCCCACCGCGCAGGACCTGCGGCCCAAGTGCGCCGTAAACACCCTCCGTCCTACGCCTTGCCCTTTCTCCTCCTGCCCGCCCCCCTTTCCCCCCTTCTTCCTCCTCCTCCTCCTCGCGCTGGTCGCACACTTCATGGATCGATGACGCAAGCGCAGGGAATCGAGGTTCAGGCGATGGCGGTTCTCAAGCACAACTGGGGGGCAAACGATCAAGGAGGACAAGGCAGAGACACTCAGAGTACTGGCCCACCACGTGAGGCGCTGTCGCATCAGAGCATGTTAGTTCGACAAGGAAGCAGGCAAGTCATCGGCGGGCACGTGCAAACTGTAATGCATGATGAGTCCCTACATGCAGGGCCAGGTGGTCACGATCGGCGGCTCACCACTGATGACGGTGCATACCGCAATGCATGCACGCGTGAAGTTGCAAGGTTGCCAGATCAAGGCAGGAGCAGCCCCCCAAAAGGGCGCTGGAGGGAGACGCGGCGCGCCTCCTTCTGAAGTCCGGCATGGCCCCAGAGGGGATCAGAAACATGCAGGACTGAACATTGACAGATCTGGAGATGACCCTACCCCGTCTATAGGACTGTTTTCTGGCCCCGCTGGAGATAGCCCTATTCCGAGAACTGCAGCGAGACCCCGTGCACGCAGGTCGCCAGCGTCTGAGGTTACAAGAATCAGGCAATACGCGCGCCTTGCTTCTAGCCAGAACGCCTTTCGGATGTCCGAACTGACCCCAAGTGGCCATCGCGGACACAGGCAATTAGAAGCGCTCCAGAGGAGATCCGATAAACTCAGTTTGCAGCATAATTCTGGAGGCAACAGTTTCGAGGCTTACTACACTGAGCCCCTGGAGTTTAGACGACCTGTAATTCAGACCCTCCAGAAAGCTGCTCGTCGGTGGTCTGGGTCGTCGTCCTCGTCTCCTGCCCTCCCATCCTGGTCATCGTAGCGCACTGTGTCTGTGCCCTTCTTGCACGCGCCTGGTGTGGATTCCCCGAGAGAACAACGAGCCTTCTTTGGACACCTGCATTGCCCGGGATAACTGCGGTCCGGGGTAACTCCGGTTTGGGCCCCTGTGGCGCGAGTCTGTAGCTTCCCCTGACCGCCCCCAGCCCCGATGATTCTCAAAGAAACACCAAAAACATAGATGTTTGGCGCTCCGCGCGGATTTCTTGGATCCGCGCTGGGCCTCCCCAGCGGCGCCTCCGGTGCCGCCCCTGGCGCGCTCCGCGCGCCAGGAAGGGGGGTCTAGCGCAGATCCAAGAAATCCGCGCGGAACGCCAAAAGTTTATGTTTATGGCGTTTCTTCTTCTTCTTCTTCTTCTTCTTCTAGATTCGGGGCACTGGGTTCTCCCCTCTGAGGCGAGAGGCGAACTTCCGCTCTGGGGGCGACGCGCACCCGGCGAGCCCAGAGGAAGTCCCGGGGCAGGGCTCTCCGGAGGGAGGCCTTCGGAGAGCAGAGGATGGGGCCCCTCGGAAGGGGCGTCTCGAGGCCCTGCCCCCGGGAGACACTTCCTGAAGGCCCAAGGCCTGCCGTGGCGGACTCCGCTCGGGAGGGGGGCGGGGCTCCTCTCGGGAGGGCGGTGGGGGGAGGGACGAAGGGATGGGGGGGAGAAGCGGGATCTGGGAGCCCGGACCCCCTGCGGGTCATGACACATGAAGCCATCACGACGGGAGTATGTTGTTGTCCCATGTTCGGCCTCTGGGGCTTAGTGGGCCCCGGAGACGGCAGGGCCGTTTTTTTTTCACCGTTTCCGAAAAAGCGTCCCTTGAAAATGGAAGCGACAAAAAACGGCGACCGGAAACGGCAACAAAAACGGCTCAGGATTGGAACCGGAGCGGGAACCCGTAAAAGAACGGCGACGGAACCGGTAAAAAAAACGGCAAGACGGAACCAGTAGAAAATCCGCAAAACGGAACCGGCAAAAAACGGCAAAACGGAACCGGTAACAAAAACGGCCCTGTCGTTTCCAGGGCCCACTAAGCTCTGGGGGCCCTTCCAAACAATTGCTCGGAGCGAGGGGGAGAGGATGAAGGGGGCTGGCGAGGGGGAAGGCCGTCGAGGAAGTGCGGGCATGGATTCAGGCGCGCAGGTCAGCGTGGGGGCTACTCGGACGTACCCTTATCGAGGATGGACGGCACCCCATCGTATATCCCAGGGTTGGGCCCCAAATTTCTGGTCCAGTAGAACACCCCGCGAACGCCAGCGTCCGCAGTGGACCCCATCCCTTCAAGCAGTGGCGAAGCGTCCTGGCTTGCCCATACGCCCACCAGAAAATGGTCCGAGAGCCCTTTGTGGTCTGCACGACATGTTCTTAGAACATCGTTGGCCAAGACCGTATTGTTCTAACACGTTGGGTTTATGTTCTACGAACCTTAATTTTTGTTATTCGAACATTGTCGGGTTCTCAGAGCAGTCCGTGGTAGGACAATAGGAATGTTTGGACGGTCAGTCCCTGCTCAGAGCAGGGGGTGAGGTCTCAGCGTCCGCAGTGGACCCCAGCCCTGGCCATCCCTGTCGCCTGCGCAGTCACCGCTGCCGTCGCCGTCGCCGCCGCTCTCGCCTGGCGAGGGGATGCAGTCGGGGGCCCTCCAAACGGTGCGGTGGCCATGCTGTGCGGTGAGCCAGCGGGGGTTCGGGGTGACCGCGCGGTTTTGGGTGCTTCGGTCGTTCTCCGACGTGTCTCGGGCGGCCAGGGCTTCCGAGGTCCCAAAGACGTGCCGTGACGGATTGTCCGGTGAGGTCTTTTGGGGCTCGAGGGGCGCGTATGTGACCGCATCGTTCTGGGGCCCTAACATCTTTGTCAATCGTGCAGTCACCGATGCCATCGCCGTCGTCATCCGCAGCGCGCGCTCTCCCCAGCCACCCCCCGCCGCTCGCAGCTGCGGCCCAGGGGGGCTGCAGGCATCCCTGGCAGGATCCACACGACAGTCTGATGAGAGGTGGCAGGCACATACCAGCACGCTGGACAAGTACACATGACGCGGCCGGCCTCGGCGAGTGCTGCCAGCTTCTTGGTACCGAATGACCACGTCCAGTCCGCGCGGACTGTTTGAAGAGGGGAGCGGCATTGGCGGGGCACTCGGGCGCCAGAAGTGTGAGAGTTGCTGGAGGAAAAGACGGGAACCAGCGGTCACGGCCCTCATCTTCTGTCGGCGCCCGCTCGAGACAGATGCAGTGAACATGAGACGCTCCGTCGACGGGGCTACACCAGGTGTGAAAAAAACACGCGTCGCACGTTGCACTGGTGAATCGCAGACGTCGCCCGAACGCGCGCCACCACGCCACGGCGCCGCCGCCCACAGGTCGGGCTCCGCCACCCGGGCAGGCCGCCCTGCGTCGAGGACGGGGAGGACGCCCACCGGCGGCGGGAAGCCTCCCTCCCTGCAGCGGACGGTCCAGGAGGAAAACCCAGAGATCCAACGCATTGAAAACATCACGACGGACGTTTTTCTGAATTTTCGGCCTCTAGGGGCCCTCGCCGGGCCCCAGGACCGTCAAAAAACGACTCAGGATGAAAAACGGGTGCTGAGGAATGGGTCGACCCTTCCGGGCACCCCGCATTGCAAAAATCGCGACATCGGATCTCTGGGAAGGTGTGTTGGTAGAAGCTTAGCTGCCTCGGTGCGCCCGTTTTGATTCGCAATGCATACCGTGTTCAAAACATCCGTGTTAACACGTCGCGTGTACACTCCTGGTTCAAAGTGCCCCCAGAATTTTCCAAGGAGGCCCCCACGGCCTCCAGAGCAGCCCCCACGAGGCCCAGAAAGCCCACAAGGGCTCCAAAGTGGAGAGGAAAGCTGGGGGCACCATGGGCCAGGGGCACCCTTAGCAACACCCGAGGTGTGGGGGGGGGGCAGGATCAAGGAGTCGTCTGGGTTCACAAGGGGGCAGCCGTCTCGCCACGCCAGGGATAGGGCTCTTCGGAACTAGGTTGATGGGACTGTCAGGCTTGTCGTCTATCGTGGCGCAGGACCGGGGAGTCGAGGACGACGGCGAAGAGGAGAGGAGGCGTCGAGGTCACGGCGAGGACGCCAGCCGTCGGCAAAAGCCCATTCCACCCGCCCCCATTAGCAGTTGCTCCAGTATGGGGAGGAGAGGGATGAGAAGGCGAAGGAAGAGGTGGAGGAGGAGGAGGAGGAGGAAGGGAGGGGATTGACAGAGTACGCTGATGCCTACACAGCGCGAACTAGATACATATGGTGGCACAGCAATGCTTCCTGGCTGCACCTGTCTGGTACTCCGATCCAGGGGAGCAGAAACTGGCGGAGGGGGAGTAAGGGGAGGAACGAGGAACGAGGTTTTTCATTTTCTATGTCAAAGGCCACCCATCGGGTGATAATTTGGTCCGGGGGTGATGTCATACTTGGTTCTTGCGTTGGACGCACAAGTCCAATCACGAGTGGACACACGTTGGGGACATCGATCTGGAGTTTTATTTGCCAATACGCATATATGTTAGCCAGCACGGGCCACAAACAATGTGTCTCTAGCGATCTACATGGCGCAATCTTTGTGGAGCATTCTAGCTGGTAGAGTGTATGTGGTGCAATCTAGGTTGCGCAACATATGTGGGACACTATATGCTACATTTATACACATACACATACACGCACCTATACACTTATATTTACCTTTATGTATTAAAATAGATGGTGTCAATCTATGTGGTGCAATCTACGTTGTGCAATACACTTCGACTGTCTTGAAGCTGTCCTCTCCACTGCTCGTGCAAACATCCCACCCTCCCACCCGCAACTTGGTCGCAAGACATCTTCAGACAAGACCGTGACGGTAGGTATTGCGTGGCACTTGGCCACGACACCGATGCCGACGACGACAGCGACATCGACGACGACGGCGCCGCCGACAGCGACTGCGACGACACCGACGACGTCTCCAATGTTTTCGACGACGACAACGACGACGACGACACCGACGACGACGACAACGACGCCGACGACGACGACGAAGACGACGACGACGTCGCCAACGGAGACGACGACGAGGGAGGAGAAAAAACGACGACGGCGACAACGACGACAACGACGATGGAGGAGGGAAGACGGCGACGACGCCAACGACGAAGAAGGAGGAAGGACGGCGACGCCGACGACGACAACGACGAGGGAGGAGGGAAGACGACGACGATGACAACGACGACGAAGACGACGACGACGGCGACGAAATAGGAGGGACGACGACGAGACGCCGACGACGGACGACGACGACGAGGGAGGAGGATAACGACGAGGGAGGAGTGAAGACCACGACGACGACGACGACGACGACGACGGCGACGAAATAGGAGGGACAACGACGAGACGCCGACGAAGACAACGAGGGAGGAAGGACGACCACGGCGACAACGACGACGGAAACGACGACGACGCCAAAGACGACGAGGAAAGACAGAAGACGACGACGCGACGACGACGACGACGACGACGACGAGGGAGGAGGGAGGACGACGACGACGACGACGACGCAAGAGCGCGCGCGCACAATTTTGTTGAAAACCCGTGTTGCGAAACCTTGTGTTTTTGTAGGTTTTTTGGACGCACGATTTCGACATTCTTCCGAAACCGAAGGTTTTTGAAGGATTTCGGCATACGCCCGCGACGACGCGCGCGTCTGCACTTAGTCCCATTTTTTGCAGAGGATTCTCGCGACGGCACACGCGCAAGAGCGTTCGACAGATTTCGACATGCGCGCGCGAAGCCCGTTTGGTAGCATTTTGTGAAAATCTTGGAAAATCTATGGTTTTCTTAAGATTTCGCAAGAGCTCGCGCGTAAGTTTTTTTTTTTGAATCAGCGTTGCGAAACCATGTGTTTTTATATGTTGTTTGGAAGTTCAATTTTGACATCTCTCCGGAACCGAAGGTTTTTTAAGGATTTCGGCATGCGCGCGCCACGACGCGCGCGTGTGCATTTCGTCATATTCGTTGTAAGGGATTCGTGAAAAAGTGATATGTTAGAACAAAACATGTCACCGCATAGTGTTTTTTACAAGGGAACCACAGGGGGGGGGGAACCCGGCTTGGCTGGGATGGTATGAATTCATTTTTAGGATGGACATGTGGTCAGAATCATGTGTAATTTACAGCACGCGCGGAGGGCCCGATAAGTCCGGGGGGGGGTAGAATCTATTAGTCTTTTAGAAAGGAGAATATATGAGGAGTCGTATATGTTGCGGAGTATAGGTGGAGCGGCACACGTGGTGCAATCCATGTTGGGCAGTGAATTTATGTTTGCAGTGAGTTGTCAACTCCACTTCTCGCGCAAGTATCCCACGAACCCACCCGCAGCTTGTTTTGCAAAACACATGCGGTTGCGATTGCGATGAGTGCCTGACGTTGGCTGGTCCATCTGCGCGGCCGCGCCAACCCAAGCACGCGCGCGCAGCGGCCAGCTAGTTTGGCGCGACCGACGCGGCCGCGGTGGCGCTGACCGCTGGGCACATCCCAGTGGGCACTTCAGCGCGAGTCGGCGACTTGGGCGGGCGCGGTATCAGTACCACGTCGACAACGGTAGTCGCGATTATAATTGCAGCGATGCTCGCGACCATGCTGGCAACGACGACGGCGAGGCCGGCGCGGGCGCCGATGCTGATCGCGCCGACGACGATGACGGCGTCCTCGCGTCGGCGATGAAGGTCCAGGAAAGAGTTCGACACGCGCGCGCGGCCGACGCGCGAGAGTGGACCGCGCGGCATTATTCGACGCGGACCGCGCCCCCCCCCCCCCCCCCCCCCCCCCCCCCAGCGCGCGCAAGGGCGCGCGAATGATGTCGGCATGCGGCGCCGAAAGAAAGGCTGCATGGCAGGATTCCATGACAAACTTGAGAAGCCGATGGTTCTCTCAAGAATTCGCATGGGCGCGAGCGCGCGTTTTCTTGCAAATTGATGTTGCGAGACCAGATGTTTGTTAAGTGTTCGTTGTACACTCGGCTTTGACATCGCTGCGAAACCGAAGGTGTTCGACGGGCCCCAGCGCGCGCGCGCTTCGCCACATGTCTGCTGCGAACGATTCTCGCGACGGCGCGCGCGCAAGGGCGTCCGAACGACCTCGACATGCGCGCGCAAAGCCAGTTTGGTCGCAGGTTCTGAACACGTTGAAAAACGAACGGTTTTCTTTGTAATTTGCAGGAGCGCGCGCGCAAGCTTATCTTGAAAATCAGTTTTGCGAAACCATGTGTGCGTTTGTTTGGGCGCTCGGTTTTGACGCCCCTACGAAACCGAATGTTTCTGAAAGGTTTTGGCGCGCGCGCGCGAAGACGCGCGCGCGCGCTTCGTCGAAATTCCCGCGCGAGGGGTTCTTAGAGACTGATGATATGTGAAAAGCGAGCGCGCGCATACTGTTTTGAGCAGAGGATGGCGCGGGGGGGGTTCCAGCTCGGCCGGGATGGCACGAGTTCATATTTAGGATGGATGATGGGACAGAATCGCAAGCAAATTGCAATGCGAAAAAAGGGAACGGCGAATTCCGCCTTCGAGGGGGTGGTAGAAATTATTTTCTGTTTAAAAAAGGAGAAAATAGTTGGCGCGCGTTCTACGCCGCGCAACGCGCGCGATATACGCCGAGCGATTCACGTAGGAAACCCGCAAATGCGGCAACTACAAGTTGCCGACTCCATTGCTCGCGCAAGCATCTCGCCCGCCCGCCCGCAACTTGGTTTGTAAACCCCATGCAGCGGCGATTGCGATGAATGCTCGACGCTGGCCGGTGCATCTCTGCGGCCGCGACAGCCCGCGCATGCGCGCGCAGCGGCCAGCTAGTTTGGCGCGACCGACGCAGCCGCGGCGGGGCGCCGGCCGCTGGGCACATTCCAGCGGACATTTCAGTGCGAGTCACGGCAACGTCGACAACGGTAGGCACAACGAGGACATTAGCAACGCTGGTTGGCAGTGCTGACAGCGGCGACGGCGCGGCCAGCGACGGCGCGGACGATGATCGCGCCGACGACGATGACGGCGTCCTCGCGTCGACGATGAAGGTTCCGGAAAGAGTTCGACGGGCGCGCGCGGTCGACGCGCGAGAGTGGCCCGCATGGCATTATCCGACGCGGATCGCGCCCCCCCCCGCCGCGCGCGCGCGAGGGCGCGCGAATGATTTCGACGTGCGGCGCCAGAGGCCCGTTTGACAGAATCCCATGAACATGTCGTGTAAAAAAACAAGTTCCCCCAAGGAGTCTCAAGAGCGCGAGCGCACGCTTCCTTTAAAACTGATGTTGCGAAATTATGCATTTGATATGTGATTTGGACACTCGGTTTTGACATCTTAACGAAACTTAAAGTGTTCGGAAGATTCTGGCACGCGCGCGCGACGACGCGCGCGCGCGCAGTTCGCCCGCT